GAAGAAGTATACAGTGAAGCGATCCGCCTCTGGATAAATGAGACGCGATGCCTTAATATCCTGAGTTGGGTTGCGGACAAAAAGTCTCGTACTTTTCCACACTTCCCATCCTGGGTGGGCGAGTTCAATGTCAACACGAATCAGCAAATGCTTGCGTTTACCACGACCCTGCATACGGCTACCTTGAATTCTATGTCTGCACCGGTAGAAATTGACCCCAAAGACTTCCGTGCGCTGCATGTAAGAGGCGTGCAGATTGACAGCATCGTCGAGCTTGCGCAGCCCTGGGGTTGGCACGGCTTGGGTGTGGGTTTTGATCCACTGTGGACAAGTATGACGCTTAGACTTCCACCAGTTTACCCAACCGGACAGACACGCGGCGAGGCACTAATCTACACATTCATTGCAAACGAGGTCAATTTTCGGCCGGTCGATGAGCAGGCGGACATGCAAGCGTTCCGAGACATTGTGAGGAGGGACACCTCCTTTGCGCTTATACGCCAACTGCACAGAGTGTGCTGGTTTACCGACCTCCCTGATACAGGTCCTTCCTACAACGCGGCTGCTCTGCCCATTCTTCGCAATCTCGACTCGCTCGCTCAAACGGATCTAAGCGGCTTTATCCCCTCTTTGTCCGAAGTTCACTCTATGGAAGCTGCAACTTGCTCGTGTGCTGCCTCGCTCTCCCACTTCGACCCTAATGAGCCGCTGATCAATCGCGACACTCGTAATGGGCATTGCCTGTACTTTGAAGAAGTAAGCAGTCTTGCGAGATATGACATCAATGACACCTCCGATATGCCGCCATCTGGCCCTAACGTACCGGATGCGAACGAGTGGGATTCGCGCTTCAGCGGCGCGATGAATCAGAAGATGCGCCATAGGAGAGTGGCGAGGACCGAGAAGGGGTTTCTGGGTCTTGTCGCTGATAGTGCGGAGGTCGGCGATGCGGTGTGGCTACTGCAGGGGGCAAGGGTACCTTTTGTGTTGAGGCAGGTTTTAGGTGATGCCGAGGCGGAAAAATGGGAGGTAGTGGGCGATGCGTATGTTCATGGCGCTATGCGAGGAGAGGTTTGGAAGGAAGTCGAAGATAAGGTAAGGGACGTGGTTTGGTATAGTCGGTCTGTATGTAGAAAGAGCATAGATATACGTGTTCGATCTCGACCGATTGCCAATTGTGCGATAACTTTTAATTCCTTAAGTCCTATTTAATTTAGCTTTATTCGATAGATCCAGTTGTGCTATATGGCTGTAATTGGAGACTTTTTTCATGATAAAAGGAATGTTGTTTTCCATTTGTGTGCAGATAGATCTCTCTTTCAAACGAACTTTAAGCGTCTTCCAATACGTATATGATCTGCCTACAATCATTTCGTACAGCGTAAATCATAGAAACAATAAGAAACACAATGGCCTTGCTATGCTTAGAAAGACTTCACGATCCCTCATCCCAAAAACGCCAATGGCATGACATCCGATGCATCGGATGCAACAACCGCGACCAAACAACACATTTCGAACATATTCCCCGATCCAGAAATCTTCCTACGTTCTATATTGTGCCCTGTTTGCCGTATCCAAACGCTGGTTAACACCCTCGCTAACACGCTCTCCTTGCGTAGACTGCTATGCACACTTGTTTATTTCTATTAGCCTCTTTCCCTTCACCTTCTAGCTACTAGAAAACTTCGCCACTTCGGTTCCAATAAATAAAATATCAAACAATCATGTAAATGATCCGTTTCTTTGGTGGCTTTCTTATGAACGCGTCTGGGGGAAGTTGATATACTCAATGCGCAGGTGTTCACATGCCGATTGATTATTTTTAATGCATGATGTATTGTATATTGAGTAGTTATGTCGCTTTATAATCTATGAAGAGATCTAAACATGTTTTCTCGCGCTGGAGGCTGCCTGCGCTATTCAGGAAAAGAAAATCTAAGTCCGATGCGAAATGTTGCCCATGTCTTAGAACCAGCGCCATGCTTGCTAGCTTCCTAGCCTGACCGTGAAATATATCCCTCAAAATCTCGAAACCCCGAGAAAAATCAAGACCAGAACCGGACAAAAACATCGTCAATCATAAGCAAACGAAACACAAGAGAAACGCCGCCCATAGAACCCTATCGCGAAAAATTGCTCTACCAGATCAACGAAACGTGCATCCGATTCGATACCATTCCCTTTTTCCCCGCGCAAAATGAACTTCATATCGTCCCCTCTTTCCCCTCCCTCCTCTCCGCCCTCCAGCGCGCCTCCACTAACCTCTCGCACCTCCCGATATACAAAACCAACCCATACCCGCCGCCATAAACCCACAAACACGCGCCCGGCAGCTCCGGCGCTACCAGCCGCAACCCCGCGGCCAAGACCGTAATATTGGTATACAAAGCGGCCACAAAACACAGCACCGCCAGGATCATCTGGTAAATGGCGGCGGAGTCTGGAAAATCGGGTAGGAAGTGCGGTTTCTTGGAGCGCGAGGGGGAGGAGGAGGATGAGGAGGATGAAGGGGTTCGTCGGGGACGTAGGACGCGGGAGGCGAGGGGAAAAGATTGGGAGGAGGATGTGTCGATGAGTTTGGCCATTTTTGTGGTGGTGGTGGTGGTGGTGTTTTTGTGGTTTCTGCCTAGGAGAGTTGGTGAGGGTATGTGTGTGTACCGGAGTGGCGTTCGTGTTTTGTTTTGGTTGGTTGCACCCAATTGATGACGCTCAGTCAGATTGACGGAGTACGAGAGGGACAGAAGGGCAAGAAGATGAGTCGGTGAGTCGTCTACGTCAGGCTTCGTCGTTGTCGCATGCGGATCGTGTAAGGGAAGAGTCGATGAGGAGTGAGCGATTCAATGTTGACGTTGATTCGTATGCGCGCGCGCAAAAAAAACCGGTCAGCATTCAGACGCACAGCTTCAATGCTTATTCTATCCTTAAAAAAGAAAAGATGGTTCGGTCCCTGCAGCGAAAAAAAAAGGGATTGGAGGGGGGGAAAGAGGATATTACAGCGGGGTATACGCTCCTTCACCGAGGATGAGGTGTGCCTAATTTGGGGGGCTGTGCTGGGCGGCGCTACTTGGCGGACGGGCTGTGGGCTAGCTGAGTCGATAGGGTGTCGGTTTGCTTGGCCGTTGTGTTTTCTCGTACAAGATGTGCGGGAGTGGGTTAAAGTAGAAGTAGTTTCGTTGTCCCGGATTACGAGGCGTGCGAGGGACATGACGACAGTGGGTTTCACGAACGTGTGGAACCACGTTGCGCACGCAACGGGCTTGACTCATGGAATAAAGCCGGGACATATCGTTGCGAAGAAATGTCGACACCTGCGCGGAAACCTTCTAGAATCGTAACTTCTTCGATGTTTTTGCAGCGGCGGTGAGATTCTCGGTCTGGCGGCACGACTTTGGTGCTGGGCTCAAGATTCGGAGATGGTTGCGATCTGGGATCTCGGAGCCGCGAAACCACATGTTAAACGACGCTACCCCACGAACGCTACAGGGGTCCACTTATTCGATACACAGGCACGCATGTGATTGTGGTTTGTGTGGTATATCTGTTAACTAACGTTACCCGTGGCCAGGTTTTTGGTGATGTTGATGAATCCATTGTGCGATTGATGGTTAGATTTACTATCCTTCAAGTTCAAAATGTCACACGTCGTATTTCTGATGTAATGTTGCCGACATAATCAATTCTCCACCCATATCCATATTTCTGTCTCTAGCCCAGGAAAAAAGGAGGGAAAAGAAAGAATGTCGGTGGCCCACCGCGCACGCCGAGGTATCGATCGTTATCTAATCACTGCCGCTTATTAGGCCCCCACCCTCTGGCTTATCCATTTTTTACATCACACCATGAACCTCACACCCGGATGTATATCTTCCGCCGTATAGGTCTCCTCCTCTCTCCGAACCATATTCCTCCAGTCATAATATCTGTCCGTGGGATTAATTGGAGAGTCCACTAGATCAACCCTACTCTTCTTCCTATTCCTACTGAGCACTTGCCACTGTTTACGCAACCACGTCAGAAACCTAGACGATAGGGAAGGCATTAGTCCTGACTTTGGAAATAGCCTTGTGGGGGTGAATATGGGCAGAGATAAGGCGTTCCTCCAGTGCTGATTTGAGATTTGAGGGATGGGTGACAGTAGCAAGCAGGAAGCATGGGGGCTAAGAGGAGCGAGAGAAGTTGTAGACGACACGGACAAAGAAGAAAGAGCACGATATAAACCCCGCGTCAATTTATCCATAAACACTGGGATAGACGTCCATTGACAGGCTACTCAGTGACTCTTCGTTATTTCAATTCTTTACTCTTCTCGCCAGTTTTCGTAGTTAGCATCTCGCTTGTCTTCACAGCATTAGACAGGGAATTTTGATGCACTGACGATGCTGCCATTCCTTCCCTCTCCTTCAACATTGTTCGGCTTCGCTATACCCCTGAGACACCGTTATTCGAGGCCGTTTAGTAACTACCTGATTTCCTACACAAGTATCGTCTTTTGGATACCACGAGAATTTTCTAGGCTATGGTCGTCGTCGACATGCCCTTCAGAGCATGCGCATCAATGATAGACAATGTAAATTCCATTGTCACCCGTTATCAGCTGGGCTGTGAATTATACGCAGGGTTATTGCGCTTCTCAGTCCCAGATGAATTTATTGAAACCGCAATAGCTAGCCAGATGTTGAATTGATCAGGGAGTACAATATGAGCCTCGCTGCAAATGGTATTGACAGTGTCACTGTCGCAATATCACTGCGAAAGAGTCAAACACTTCGTCCCTCGCTATCACACCTGTAGCCGCTTTTTGATTGCTACCTTGAAAAAGATCGCCCTGGGGTGAAAATATACAGTTTCAAGCTCGGTTGAATGAGCCGCAGGTGAATACGGTTGTGCTTACGCTTACGCTAAAAAAAAACACTGCGAAATAACAAAAATGCCAAAAAAAATCTTTTTGACGACCGATGTGGGACTCGAACTTTTGAACGGTTAGAATTGTACTAAAGCGCATCTGTAGAATTGAACTTACCCCACAGCCTCGGGCTTAGGAGGCCCGCGCGCTACCATTGCGCCAACCGGCCCCTAAGTTCTGGGTACAGAATTGATTGTATATTAATTTTCTGAATATTTTATTATATATATTGATGTGAATGTCGTGAGAGCTACATGGAGGAGCGATATTCGCTCAGATTAGACTATGTACATAACCAATCACTAGCCGCTGCCCCACATAACCAATCATCACTAGCCGCTGCCCCACATAGCGCAGCGCTAGCCAGTGCCCTAGTACCCACGCAGTTTACAGTCCAAAGCCATGCCCGCCCATTAGGTCACTCTTCCTATTCCCGACCCCAACACATAAAAAACCAAAAGACAAACGGTAGCAAAGGCGTCCCTATGCTACAAACAGAAGTGCAGGCGCGCGGCACAGAGGTTTTCGCTGCAGCATGCCACAAGCTTAACAGCCCACCATATAAAGCAGGTACACTGCACATAGATATATATAAGGAAGAGAGAGCACGCATAGACGGTAGATGGACCAACAGAAGTAACAGATCCCCCCTAACTACAGCTGAGCATAGGGATTTTGCATAGAGATCAACGTTTTGCATGGAAAAGAGCCAATTGTAGACCCCTAATCACTCCCGGTTTCGGTAGTCCAACACTCCTGCCAACCGGTAGTATATACACAGCCAGATCGAAATCACTTCACCAAGTAGTTGGATACGGTGGGGAAGGAGAGAATCGACGTCCATTTCATTTGACACGAGGGGATGATAAGCCTTGCGCCTGAAACCTGCCGGTCCACTCGCAGCGTGAAGCGGAGGCTTGTCTTTGGAGTGCTTGATCATTCTGGAGGGCAGGGTGGAGCAGGGTAGTTTGCAAACGGAGTGAGTGATGCGATCAAGACCGAGGAGGAATAATTGTGGGGAGCGTGGGAAGTTTTATCGACCTTGAGGATGGGAGGTGCGAAGCGTCCGCCCACCAGAGACTGCGCGCTCGGCCGCCACGCACTTCATCAGAGATCGAACCGAGGGGGATGTGGGGGCGGACGGAAGCCGGAGCAACGATCTTCCGGATCACGCAAGGCGAGTGCATGGCGCTTCCTTTCAGATCCCCAACTACCCCATCCCCCGGTGAGCCTCCGATGATGCCTGGCTCACCTCCCCCACCGAATTCGGGCATGTGTGTCTCCCCGAAGAATCTCAACGTTTGGCATCTCCTCCGGAAGGAAGTCGTGGACACGATGCTCGTCGAAAGGGCGTGCGGTGAAGGCGGAGGCAAGGCCGTAGGTGAAGCTCCCATGCGTACACAGCACCCAGCTAACGCGTCCAGGATGGAATTCGGGGGTCCAGGAACCAGGGAAACGGGCGTACGAACCCAGCAGAGAAGGCGTGGAGCGTTCGCCAGCGCAGGAGGTGAACCGCCGCACGCGCGCCACCAGCCCTTCGTCCTTCAAGCCAGAGGTGTTCCTCCCTCCAGCCCTCAGGCGGCCTCTCGCGAGAGTGTGCACCCTCTCGCGAGGACGGGTCGAAAGGCGAGGTGGGCACATGCGAGCGACCCAACCCCTCTCAGGAGGCGGCGGGCGGACATGATATACCGTGTGCTGGCAAACCTTCCAAGACAAGTCGTGGATGCCCGAGACACGGCCTGCGCCCACGCGCCACCGTGAAAGGACGACCAAGACAGGGGACGAGGCCGCGCAGCAGCGAAAAGGGGCCCTCACAGCACCATCGCGCCGCGAAGATAAAATGGGTAGGCGAGCAGACACCTTTCGAACCAGCCCCCACCCAGCATCGTGCGCGTTACATGGTCATTGATCACTTGGCTGACAGCAGTGAAGAGATTGACAGAAAAAGATACACAGCAGCCGGCAGTCTCACGTTTGCTCCGGAGGGATCGGTGCGGGACAAGTCCACGGCACCCAAAGCACCCAACCCTCTCGCCGGAACGATTTCGTCGGGTTACAAGACCGCGCGCGCCAGCACAATCACCTACCATCAAGCCCCGCCACCACGATCTCCGCCGTTCCAACTTCATCACGCAAATCCCAACTTCATCACGCAGATCCCAACTTCATCACGCAGATCCCAACTTCATCACGCAAATCCCAACTTCATCACGCAAATCTACGGCTTCGAACCCACCATTCTCCGCTTTCCAGAGCCGCTGTTGATGCAGGAATCGTCGCCCTTGCCGGTGTTTTGGGGGACCTTGCGAGAGCCAACCACCATGGACCCCACCGCGGCGCTGCTGAGCAGCCTCTCGAACCACAGCCTGGGGGCGCACGTGGAGGCATCCATCTTCGCGTTCCTCTCCACCCGCGCAGACGTTTGCCGATCGTTCGAGTTCGCCGTCGCAGACGGGGCGTTGAGGTTGACGATCGACGACCAGCGCCCCGACCTCAACTACGCCGACAGGTTCTGGGAGCTGGAGCAGCGACTGAGCCGCGAACCGGGCAGCCAGGTCCTGATCCCCTTCGACGTGAAGAGCCGGACGTCGTGCAAGGCCGAGGAGCAGCTTTACGTGACGACGGTTCGCCAGCGGCAGCGCGTCGCCTTCTACATCTGCGTTTGCGCCGCGAACCCTCGCTTCGTCGAGGTAATACCCAACCGGCACGGCGGGGAGCCCATCCCAGAGGAAGACGTTGACAACCCCGCCCGCCCCGTCGTGGCCAACCACTCCCGCAGGTCCCTCGTCCAACCGTCCGCCTACTACTCGCTGAGCCCGTGCAATTCGCCGTACCGCATGCCGCTGCCGCTCCTCTACCAGGCGATGGACAGCATCCGCGCCAGCCTCCTCGACGACGCCGACTACGTGAACCCGTGGACCAAGGTGCGATTTAGGGGGTGGAGGCCGCACTGGACGGACGTCATCGACCCTCTGGTCCCCGACGAGCACGTCCAGGCTGCGCATTTCACGGCATACGAGGGAGCGTCGAGGATACGGCGCGCCATCTCGGCGGGGGTGGACCTGGGGTTCGATTTCCTGTACTCGCAGCCCGCCCTGGCCGACTTCAAGCTCACCGTGGACGACCCTCGATCCCCCTCGCGCGGCCAGTGGTTCGTCCAGTACAAGATCGACGGGCGCGAGCGACACACCGACTCGCCGCTCACGGCGGTGCCCATCGCCCGCCGCCACGGCGGTCCCGACGGACGCGATCTCTCGCACTACTTCCACGCCACCGAGCGGTAGGTCCAAACCACCCAGGCGGGGCCCTTCCTCCCTCTGACGCCGCAGGCAGGTTCGATTACCTACTCTACGAGTTCCACTGCGTCGCTCGCGCCCAGGCCGGAGGCGTTCGATCCGAGACCTGGTTCTTCTTCCTGCCCCAGCGCGTGCTGCCCGACGCCCTCTACGAAACCGCCGACGAGCTGACCGACCTGTTCGACGACCCCGCCCTTCGAGCGTACTGGATACACATGGATGCCGGGAGGAGGTGGGTGGGCAGGGTCCGCGGCATCCTGGAGGCCAACCCAAGGCCCAGGAGGCCCGGCTTTCGACCGTCCCGCAGGCACCAGGCCCCTCCGCCAGACCGAGACGGCGCCGGGGAGCTGGCCGCGATGGAGAGGGTGCAGCGCACCGTCCTCCCGAGGGCCCTGGGCTGGTTCTACGAGACCTTCTTCGACCGCGTCATGGACGAGTGCGCTCACCGGCTCTCGGGCCTCATCATCGCCCTGCCTCGAGACGATCCGGGCGGCGACTTCGCCTGCTGTCGCTACCGATGGTCCCCCTCGGAGCGAGAGCGCTGGCTCCGCTCGCGGGTGCCACCCAGCACATCCAGCACCCTGCCGCACACCACGCCCCTCGTCCCCATCATGGTCTACGCCAGGCAGCGGGTGGGAACCACCCGAGGACCTTGCCTCACCGCCGCCGAGGTGAGGCGGCTCAACCTCTCGTCCACCCTGCGACTCCTCTGCTTCGACCTCTTCGGCGCCAGCGGCCGCGAGACCCACGGCCCGTTGATGGTGGTCCCCTCGGACGATGTGAGCCACACGGAGACGCAGAGGGGCATGTACGAACGGGTCCTCGCCACCAACAAGGCCCAAGACTTCTCCCCGCGCGTTCCTCTGCTGGCGGAGCAACTCCACGCAGGCCACGCCGCGGCGCACTACACCGTCGCGGGGAGCGGCCCGCTCCTCTTCGAAAGCCACGCCAGCGAACGCTGGGCCGAAGTCTGGCGCCTGCTGCATCTGTTCTGCGGGACCGACCCCTTCCCCTTCCCCGAGGACCATCTCCGCGACCCGCGCCTGTACCAGCTCTCTCTCCAGCAGCTGCACCAGCAGACGCTCGACGCTCAACTTTCACACCCATAGGATCAACCCCACCACAGAATCAACCCACCACAGAATCAACCCACCACAGAATTGACTACATCACAGAATCGACTACATCACAGAATCGACTACATCACAGAATCGACTACACCACAGAATCGACCCACCACAGAATCGACCCACCACAGAATCGACCCACCACAGAATCGACTACATCACAGAATCGACTACACCACAGAATCGACCCACCACAGAATCGACTACACCCATTTTTTCTACAGCGACATTTGCGGAAGGTGTCAGACCCAAGCAAAAACAACCAAAATCAGGCTACACGACGAAAGAGGCGGGCCACCCACATCACCAACAATTGCACCCGCAAACCACACCCACAGCTCGCCAACGAGGACGTCAGAGCATCTCAAACCCGGCGAGACAGTCACGCTGTGCATGGCCGCCGCATCGGGACCCAACTGGCGACATGTGTGTCGGTGTCTCAGCATCGCGCGCTGCCACCAGCAAACGTGCCTAGCAAGCTTCCATTGCCCTCTTCAAGAGGGCCGAGCGAGCGAGACTCCCTTCTTCTACGGAACCACGCACTCCATCCATGTCAGGGTTTATGTCGGTTGCATGGTGATTGATTGATAGATTTCCTCATGTTCTTAGATTTCCTTTGTTCGCTGATTCCTAGCAAATAGCTAGCGTAGGGTGAGGCAAACACCCAGCATGTACATAGTAGAGCTTTCTCTCGATATCTGAATATGATCAGCTTCATCCATCATCTCCCTCAACCCAGCCTGCC